GTCAATTTCCGTTTGAAACAGTTAATCTCGAAAACGGTTCAAAATAGAAACAGTATTATCTGAACAAAGTGTTAATCTAAAATTGGAAGATTATTTTGCAACAACAAAAGGTTATGAAGACAGTTTTATCGAAACTGACTGTAGGCAATTTGTGACAAATTATATTGAATATCTTCCTAAGTTCGATTTCGGGTGTAATTTTGAGGTCAGTCCAATTAAGCGCGGTATACAGTATGACAGTATCATCAGCATAACTGAAAAGTTTGCCTTCAGTTTGAATATTCAGTATGTCATTTATAAACACTGATGTCGGAATAGAATGGTTTGGGTTTTGGTGGGATTAATTTTGATACGCCACTTGTTGCACCACTGCTCGAAGTGATCGATCATGTTTTGTGCTTGAATTTGGGGACGGAAGAGTAGAGGATATTATCATCGGCATATTGGAGGATTTTCTGGATAGTGGGGACATCGTGGGCGTAAATTAGACATAAGAAGGGAGCGAGGACTGATCCCTGGGGAACACCGAATTTGGGGGAAAGGGGGTGGATAAGGCATCACCGACTTTAACGCGGATTTGTCGGTTAAATAGGTGATGAAGTGGTGTGGGAGACGAGTTTGGATAAGCTTCCAGATCAGGCCCGCGTGCTAGAAGAGTTAATATTTTGGGAGAAGTGGGTGTGTAATTCGACTAGTGTATTCTGAGTGAAATGTTCAGGTCTGAAACCATGCTGGTCGGGAGGGATGATGTTGTGTTCTAGAAGGAAGTCATTCAGTCGGTTGGTCATTAATCGTTCCAGCCAGTTTGCCCAGACAACTAAGCAGGCTGATAGGTCTATAGAAATCAAGTTTGGTGAGATCCTTGTGAGGTTTTGGAATCAGGATTGTATTTACCTGTTTCCAGGCTTTTGGGAAGTAGGCGTGTACTAGACAAGCATCAAGGATGTGTTTGAGGAAAGGAATGGTGGAGTCGGGAAGGTTTTTCAGCACTCGGCGGTTAACTGAGTTGGGCCTAGAGAGGTATTTCTACCTCTATGAATAGTATTAAGGATATCTTCCTCGCTGAATCTCAAGGGGCAGTTAGGGTCAAGGGAAATCTGACCCGGATGCCTGCCCAGCTGCGCTGGCACTTGCTGGTGTATGTGGTTGAGATGAAGGTTGTCGAAATGAACGGCTTTAGAGAGTCGGAATGTCAATTCGAGAGCTTCACGAAAGTCTTCTGCTTTAACAGACGGATTGAAAATAATGTTACCGTCAATCACCAGGTGACTGTCAGTTTTCCGTTTCCAGAAAGCCGTTCTGTGCCTGAAGTCAAGTTTTTTTGTCTCTTCGATCCACCTTTTCTGGGTGAATTGGTTGATGAGGAGACGTATGGGTGCATTAAGTCGATTCCACTCGTTTTTCAGAACTGGGTCTCTGGTTCACACGAATGTTCTGGATGTTTGCTTATGATGAACTGTTTGGAACCTTTGGTGTAGTAATGAATATTACTGGAGTTTTTTCCCAACACCAAATCGTTATTTTCAACACCTCAACACGTGTTTCGATCAACAAATGATCATCTTCAAAGAGGAAGATCAAAACTAGAAACTAATGCGAGCTAACCCTATTTATGCTATAAAGGTAACCTATACAGGTAAACCATCCAGGCGTACCAACCATACAGGTATACTAGTTTTTTTTCACGTATAGTCAGTGGGCATACAAGACTGGCTATAAATCAAATCATCTGAGAGAACAANAACGGAAGTTACAAGTTTCCAACCCAACGGTGTCGAAACTATATTGCCTCCCAAAAATCCACAAACCGGGAAAATCAATGCGCCCCATCGTGTCAGCTATTGGAGCTCCTACCTACCAAATAGCAAAGTGGCTCACTAAGGAATTTGAAACCTTGTCTATTGCGAAACCAAGTTTCAGTATAAAAAACTCTTTAGAGTTCATACAACATACAAAAAACGTGGTTCTGCAAGAAGGTGAGATTTTATTTCTTCTGATGTTAGTTTCTTATTTCCTAGCGTCCCAATTCCACAGACCTTGCAATACCTCAGGGAATCACTAGAGAAAAATAATTTCAATAATAATGAAATCGATGAATTCGTTTCGATACCAAAAAATCGAATATTGACGACTTTGTTTCCATTTTAAATAATAGATGTCCATCAATAAAAATCACGTATAGTTAGTCAACCAACAGTCTGTCGCACTTTGCATTAAATGGATTTGTGCAACGGGCAATGTGCATGAGTCTCTATGCAGTCCATCTAGCCACTCTCTCCAGAAAAATGTGGAGATGAGGTAGATCTAGAAGGATCTCCATGGCTGCTGGCGGTGTAGTACTGATGGCACTACAAAAAAACTAATTTTCGATTGAGAACTGCTAAAAGTAAAACGTCGTTGCTTCCAAAAACAGAAATTGTTGACTCACTTGCAGGGTAGAATAGATTACTTTTTACGTAAGTAGCACCATTGTTTTTGAAGCTGCTGGTTTTCTTCAGTTCCTTAGTATATTGTCACCACCCACTTTTTCAGAAAGGAATATAGTTATCCTCCATCACCAAACAGCACCTCCCCTAAATTAGTTCTTATTCTAAATTTTCTTCTTTCAACAGAAAGTTTGCATTAATTGCGGGTGCTTGTTTTACGGTCTCCAGTGCTTCCTCAAAAAAAAGGGCGGTTAATAGTGACAAATATGAAATGATTAGTTTATAAACTTCAAAGTGGACTATAAAGGTGTCGTCTGGTGATAAGAAATACCATCAAGTAAGTGCATTTGCCACTATTTTGCGTCCATTCCCGTTGCAAAGATTCATATCAAGATAGACACACACCGTACCTATCCACCAAAAAACGTCATAAAGTAAAGACAATTACAAAGTTTTTTTTATCGTAGTTGATAAAGATATCTATGAGGGTCATATTTTTCATTGAGTTCGCTACATATCATCATTGGCGTCACAGTATCAATAAATAATTACTGAATATAAAATGGACGACGTTAAAAGAATGTTTGCAGAAATACAAGAAAGCAATAAACTAATGAACCAAAACATCAAAGAAATAAAGAACGACCTAAAAAACCTAACTACGAAAATAGTAGAAGTTAACCAAAGAATTGTAAAAATTGAAACTGAAAACTGTTCATTGAAAGAAAAACTTAAAATAGCTGAACGACAATTAAGGCGAAATAACATAATTATTTTTGGGATACCGGAAGAAGAACAAGATCCTTTGAATTACTTTAAAACGATAATCGAGAAGAACCTCGAAGTCACCTTAGAAGAAACNATTTACTTCAGCATATCGGACGGTAGCCGGTCGGTTCGACGTGGGTGCTTTGTTCACTCACTCAAATCGACCGCCGTGTTGGTCGCTGGTTCAAGCCCCAGGCTGAGCGATAGATTTTATTTTCACTTGCTATCGTTCAACCCGTGTTAGGAATCACACGTTAAAAGGTAAGACCTCGTTAGTACTCACTTCGCACAAGTTTCGACTTCTGAGGATTGTCGTTCGTAGGGGTGCGACGGCTGCTTAACGGAAAAACAGATTTTAAACAGACAAATCTCAATGATACTTGGCCTAATTATGACCACAATGTTGAAACTCATTTTGTTCTGAAAAAACCCTTCGTGTGGCGATAATGTCTCCCCTGTTATGGAACCGACAGCAAGTCCAAACCATGAATATGATAGATACACGAGAATCCCAACGGTTGGGCCACAAAGCCGCACTTCGAATTTGACCAGCGAATGAGAAATTGCTTACTTTCTGAAATCAACTAAAAGAATGATATGTTCAGGCCAGTCTCGATTCATCTACACTGTAAATTAATGGACTGACAGAACTGACGGAAAACAACTATTCCCCTGGCTAATACTACGAAGGGATTATATCCAACAGGTGTCAGTGAAGGAATCTTCATGGAAGTATTTTCTGCATATGCTGTTGGCGATACAACTGCTGGATTCGATTTCAATTCACCAGGTCTCTATTCACCTACAGTGTTGGTGAATTTACAAATAAATTATTTACACGAAACGACTCCATTCCTGATTTAGTTTATAGAATATTTTTTGGAGTAAGCCAATCCTGGAAGATTCTGCCAGAAGTCCATAACTCTTCTTGCCATCCAGGTGTTCAGTGTTTGTTTGGCAAAGCCCAAAGCGATGCCAATGACAGGTTCTGGTCCAATGAAGCCAAACAAGCAAACATACAAGTGAAGCTAATGAAAGTGTGTTGAAAAAGGATAACATTAGTGTATCTCGCTTGTACGTCTCGATTGCCAGATTTTTTATGATGCTTTCAATATCGATAACTGAACTTATATTAGGGTCGTATTCTAGGTAGTATATATTGATAACATCTCGATAATCCTATGAACCTTCAAGGCTTTTCGTATTCTTGTCAGTTATGTAGCATATCAGAATGAACTCGAACGACCCTGTTTCATCGTCAGAATTTTCAGACTCTAGGACTCTAAGAACATTATCCTGTTTTTTTTCTGTTCCACAGAAAGGCACAATAGCAAAACGTAAAAGTAAAGCGTTCACGAACAAGACATTCACTTGTTGTCGTTAGTTTGATAACTGATTGAATA